TGCCAGAGATGTTGGTGGGGCGTGGGAAGTCCACCAATTCGTTGTTTGGTATCTGGGTTGAGGTAAGAAAAGACATTCGTTAGAACTTATTTGTAAGGTGATAGGTTCTGGATACGATGATGTGTGGAAGTGTGCAGAGCGGCAGTCCGGTGTTGAGATTGTGCAGTAAAAGGTGGGGTTATGAGAAGTTGTTAAATCTCGTAGGTTATCTATCAGGCTGTTAAATAGAGATTAAAAAGAGACAAGTTGGGGAAGGAAGCAAAGGTAGTCATACACTCTTGTTGTAAACATTTGCTGAGTGGCTAAGCATGAACGTATATAGGTTCACGGTGTTAATGACGATGTTGTTAGTTGAGTCATGTTTACTTTTGTCATGCCACGAAGTGTGCACGAAATACAAATTGAGATTTTCTTTGGTGTCTCATGTACTTTTACCTTTGTAGAGGTTGGTAGCGGCTATATGCAGAAGCGTTTTTGTGGGTTGCCCCACATGTGCTGTTAGGCAACGGGACTGTTACTAGCTAACAGCTTTCCCTCGGGGCTTTCAGAGGGGAAAGCCTAGGAGCGGGCTCAGCCGCCTAGGGGGACAGTCTGCGACGAAGGTTTTGTTGGCCAACGACCAGGTTCAGACTGGGGTGGGTCCTGCGAGGTCGTGCTGGGGCGATGCTGCGAGTCGCGGTTGTGGCGGGTCTCTAGTCGCGGTCTGGATGATGATTTTGTCAAGGAAAAAGCTACACATTTTCATCTTCCACGTGTATTCTGGCTGAGTGTTGGTGAGAAAAAGTTATTATAGTAGTTATAGTATGCATGTTAATTTTAAACTTAAAGACTTTCTGCAAATAATACACACTAGAGAGAGTTGAGCTTACACACCCATCCTGGAGTTTTAGGACTGGATTGGTTTGGGTCGGCTGTATTGTTGATAGCCCATGTCAGCTTGCACTGACGAGCAGCACAGTCTGTTAGCATGAATACTTTCTTCCTTGAGACTTCTGGTCAATTTAGCACAAGTTATACGTTTTCAGTCAGTTTTATCCCCTGTCACTAAACAGCAAACTGAACCTTTGTCGATACGATTGACTTTTGACAATAAGGTCGTGTGTTCAGAGCAGCTCTTTTCTCATAATGAGATGGGTTCAAATGAAATGAAGGGGGCAGATATTTGGTTAATAACACCAAAGCCTGAAAGATCATCATTAAAATACCAAAAACTGGTGGGTAACAAATCGAGTAGCATCTATTTTTTAAAAAGGCAGACACATTGACAATTAGTTGCAGCAGGGGGTTCTAGGTCATAACTGGCCACATGCATGGACAATGCATGGTCTCCTGAGTCACCCCAACCTCTCATTTATCATTTGTTGTCATGTGTGAGGAGCATGAGAAAGATCAGCCAGCCCCAAGGCTCAGTAAATAGGGTGACATGATCAATATATTATGACAAAATTATATTGCTTTTCCTTTTTGAAACCCTATAAAGATTTCACAAATATGAATCCCTATGATACAGGCTGTGTTTTAAAACACAATACAAACAAATCTCCAAATTTGAGGGGAACAACATAAATGGTCAAATTTGATCTCGTTTGTGCTGTACACTTAATAGAAAATAGAGTCGTTATGGGACATACAAAGCTGTTTTGATTTCAATTACTTGCTTAAATACATCAAAAAGATAAATGAGGTCTGGGAAGCTTTCATTTGAAAATATACAATCATATTTTGTTTTTTAACTTGAAAAGCTACCATTGCCTTAGCTTCTTAATCTGGACGTTTTTAGGGAGTGTTAAGATTTGTTTTATGCCTCCAGTGTTAAAGGTCGGCCTATGGGTATTGACCAGTGAAGGCGGTGTGTCCAGGACTGCTGTGGGGGCTGGGCCAGAGGCAGCGTTCAGCTGCTGGGATCCTAGGCCCATGGGACTGGGGGGGGTTTGACTGAGGTCACCAGGTCAGGCCAAGATAGAACACAAGGAATCTGGGTGCAGGACTGTGGGAGCTGGGCCCCTTTTGTTCCCTCTTTCACGTTCTTCCTAGTGCCCTTGTGTTATAGCCTTAAACTTGGAGCAACACGGGAAAGAAACATGGCTCCAAAACAGAACTTAAACTGAGATCACTGAGGTTATGGAACTAATGACAGCAGCTTGTGTGATTGTTATTATGGAGGGTTTTACATTTCTAGTAAGTTTTTACTACTATAAAAACATTTAAATTAAAAACTCCCTACCCATTTCTATTTTAACTTCTTGGGTATGTACTGAGTAGGAACCACACTGCGCTTGAAGACTCACATCAGACAAAATTATGTTGTTAACAGCTTTGGTCAGTATGGACTTGGTTCATATTGCATATAGATTTCTGTGGGTTATTTACATGGACAGCACAGATGACCGGTGGAGGCAGGGCCATAATCTAGGACTGCTGTCTCACGGCTAGAGGTCAGTGGCTCAGTCCAGTTCTGGCCAATCCCAGGAGGGTTTGTTTGTGTGCTCCAGTGTCCAGCTAAGGGGGGAGTGGCCAGGGTCTCACAGGGCAGGTCTGGCCCTGAACACAACACAATGACCAGGGGTAATTATGCAAGCCGCAGGATGGGAAACGGTGGTGGGAGGGACATCTGGACCCTGACCTCTAACCCTAAGAGCCTGATCTCACACAATACCGAGGCCAGACTGGTGAGGGCTGCTGGTTAGGCAAGAGGGGTCAGCCCATATTGATCAGGACAGGGGGTGAAAATGCAAATGCTCCATCCAACTGCCCACTGAATTAAATTGGGCAGAAGCCATTTGAGTAAGCTCCCATCGGTCACTCTTGGTTGTCTCTACATCCAAAACCACAGGTCTAATAATGCGTCACTCACCAAGGCCACTCATGGTGTGGGTATAGGTCTGAGCCTGCAGCTGGATGGTGGGCTGCTCTGGTTGGCCTTCCTCATGGTAACACAGCCGGTATCCCTGGACAGTCACAGATTCTGGGGAGGTTTGCCAGCGTGCCACAATTGAAGTGCAGTTAAGAGGCTCTAGTTGAAGAATAGGGGCTGAAGGCACTGAGGGACAGAGACAGCAGGCATGAGATCAATACATACTCATATTTAACCTATTGTTGAGCATAAAGTAAGACTAAACCTAAACAACAAAAAAACAGCAGGACACTGGGTATAGAAAAAGTATGGATGGAAGATAATGTTATTAACACAATGGTTAGTGTCAATTCAAATTAAGAATTCTGGGTGTGACAGACTTATGATTTAAGCTGCATATTGGAAGAAAATTAACAAATACACATTTAGAAGACAGTTCATTCCCTAGTATTCATGTTCTAGACATTGTTCTTAAATAAAAAGTATAATTCTGTCAGCTGTGCTACATCATCAAAATATATAACTAAACTTTTGAAAACAAGAAATCCAGCATCAGTGGACAAACAGCCTCCCCCAACACACAAGGCCATGAAAAGAGGCTATTCTTTCCCCCACATAGATGCCTGAGGCCCTCTCTTTATGACCCGTGACTGAGGCCACTCTAACATCACTGACAGCGAAGGGCAAAGGTTCCTGGGTAACCAACACAAAGGCTGTAGGACAATGCTACAAGAGCAAACTCTAGTCATAAGCTGGCCACTCTGCATGTGCTCTAGTGATCCTCCTGGTATTCTAAAAGCAACAAAACAGGGAGGTGACAAAAGCGAAAGCATAGCCAGTTAAAAGTTTGGCAACACATGATTCTATTACTCTATAGCATGTACTACTTGTTGTTGTTTGCTTCTCAACCTACTAAAGATGCCTGCTTTTGACCCTAAGAATACATTCAATCATGCATGAAAACTTTGTCACAAATTCACAAAGTAAGTGAACAAAACTGTTCTCACAACCAGGTAATAATAACCCATGCATGCACCGATAAGGATAACAAATATATCACCAGCTCTCAAACTTTTGTGACATTTCCTTTCCAGCCTTCTGCAGGTTTACCTTTGCTGGTGGAGATCTTAGGAGTACGGTGCGAGGTCCATGCAGAGGGTTCACACCAACCCACACGGGTGGCTGCAGCCATACGGAGCAGGTAGATGGTGTCAGGCTGCAGGCCCTCCAGCAGGTATTCTGTGCTGTTCTGAGGTAGCTCCACAGAGTTGACAGTGTTATCCGCAGCTGTACGATAGGATAGTCGGTATGCAGACACCAGGCCGCGGCTCACTTTGGGGGGCAGCGGCTGCCAGCTCACCTGGATATCCGTGGCGCTGTGGCTGGTCAGACTTAGCTCGGGGGTACGTAAAGGCACTGCGGAAAAACATGGATATAACAAATACTTGAAGCTGATGAGGTACTGGATTTCTTCAGAATACAAAAATGCGGGCAAAAAGCTAAACTGTCGTATTTCTTTTAATTATTCCCACAGATTTGCTGTTAATAAGCAGAATACACAACAGCATACCCATCCCCCTTAAGTCTACTCACAATGTGCTCACATCACTTGCATGCATTTTAGCTTAACTACCATAGTGATTTATTGCAAGGAATGCTGGGAGTCTCAATGCTCTATGCTTACCATCCTCCAGGGTATGTTGACTGACTTGGTCTGACATACGGCTGGCTCCCATTGGCATATAAGCCACAATGTAAAAGCTGTAGTTTCGAGCTGGCTCAAGGTCATCGATGATATAACTGGTCGTGTCGTTGCCAATAACAACTTGGTATTCTTCGTTGTTTAGACCTAACATGCAACAGAGTATAAAGTAGGTTAGAAAATACGTTGAAAGGATCCAAAGAAGAAGAGACTGTCTTTGAGTGTTGTTCATCTTTTGATTGTGTAATGCAAAGCACAGCCACATAACTGCTTCCAGACCTCCTAAAGCAAACCTACTTAAACAGCTAAATGTGATTACTACAAAGTAAACATGTTTACTACAAATGTAGACTTGACTTGGTGACTAACTTAACTCAATTTAATGGTTAAAGTTAAATATTTTCTTAAGGTACTGGTTTGCAAGACTGTGAGGCTTTTAAAAAACTACACTGTCCCTTTAACCGCAAGCAGAATGAGCTGGGGAGTGGACAATGGACTCGCTAAGCCTGTTGTTAGTTGCCATTCTGAGTCCTCCTTGACCTCTGCTCTGCGCAGCAACAACAGATGGCCTTCACCAAGGAAAGTTGATCATATGTGAGAGAGTGAGATAGCTTGTGGTCACATTGCATCTTTTCACACCTTCATTCCTTCTGAGCCCACAACCGATCTTTTTAATCTCCATTAAAAAACCTGAAACATATTTAAATGGTTCACCCTCTTCGTCTCACCTTCAGCCTTCATATAATGGATAGAGTAGGCAATGACTTTGTCTGCATTGTAGAGAGGTCTCTCCCAGGCCAGTAAGATAGCAGAGCTTGAGATGGTCTCAGCATGGATATTTCTCGGTGCACTGGGTCTGTCCTCGGACATGACAACAATAAGGCGAGCCAAGGACAGCACAGAACCCTGTTCACTCTCTGCCATGCACTGATAGATGGCATCATCCTCAGGGATGATCTGGGTAATCACCAATTTACTGTGAAACAACAAACAAAATATTACATTTGTATTATTGTTTATCAAGAAATAATAATCAATTAGATTTGATTAAAGCAGATTAGATCATGACCACTACTGTTATTCTGCAATACCTGTTATACATCTTAATCCTCCCATTTAAATGGACCTCTTCCCCATTCTTTAGCCAGCTGATATGTGGCGGGGGCACTCCTTCTGCTTGGCACATAAACCGGGCAGTGCCTGCTCTTGGACGGGTCTGGCTCTCAGGCTTCTCAACGATGGATGGTGGCACTGAAACAGACGTGTAACAGACAAGTAATAAAAAACACGTATTAACCCACAAAAACAAAACACTGACTTATTCCCTGAATATGGAAATTAGTTCACATCTGCAAAAGCTTTTGTTGTGTTAAAGCACGTGGAATATAAGAAGCAGGCAGGAGATATGATCTGAGACCCAATGCAGTATAACTACTTCAGAGTTTCCTGTACCTTGAACGGTGACGTTGGCTGCAGCTATAGTGTAGTTGCGGGTTCCAGGGGTGGTAGCCCTGCAGAGGTAGACTCCACTGTGCTTGGAATTAACATCAGTAATAACCAGATTCCCATTGCCCAGCACTTTGGCGTTGTACACATCGATAGGTTTACTGTCTGCACGGCTCCAGGAGATGATGGGCCAGGGATTCCCTGTGGCCACACACTCCAGCACCACAGTTTGGTGAAGAGAAACTGTGACATTTTGAGGTCCAGCAATAATTCTGGGCCTCTGACGTGGTTTAGGGCCTGCACCTTCACAAAAAAAAGGAAAAATGTTAAGAGTTCCCTATATAAAATGATGGTTTAATGTTCACTCCTAAAATCATTTGAATGTACCTTGGTTGACTGTCAGTGTGGCCGCTCTGCTTTTCAAACGGCTACCGATGTTAGTTGCCACACATCGATACTGTCCAGCATCTTCCATTTGTACATTGTGGATCTGAAGGACTCCGTTGGGCAAAACCGTTATTCTGGGGAAATACAATGGTAACATTAGGGTCAAGCAATGGACAGGAACAAAATGAGGAAGCTGCTCAAAACATGGGGACTGAATAGTGTCTGACTGAAGGTGTGTGTGCAGGTACCTGTCTGTCTGTAGCGGCAATGTGCTTTGGTTGAGCTCCCAGGTGATGGTGGCAGGAGGGCTGGAGGTGACCGCACAGGAGAATCGTGCCACTAAGCCCTCAGTCACCACCATAGGCACAGGATGCAGCAAAAACTCTGAGATGCCTGTGGAAAGAAATACATTATCAATCAAGGCTGGAGGTATTTCAACTCAAACCAACCACATTAATAATTGTTATGGTAGTTGGCTTATTTACACTGATGTTTGTCACTTACTAAATATATATTTCCTTTCACCTTTGGTAAAATATTATACATTATGCATGCAAAGCCCTGGCATTGATGGATGTTAACTGATTCTATGAAAGGAATTGATCTTCGTAAGACACAATGATCTTGCTTTTGAGCAGATGAGCAATCAGGTCCCATACTGACCAGCTGGTCCAATCAATGGATCAATGGAAGAATGACACTAAATGATGCATTGTTATAGATAAAAACAAATCAATTCATGTTGCATATTGAGGAAGCAAGCAATAGAAAAATATCCAAAACAGTGTTGAAATATAAACGTAAACCTATTTCTTGCAGAATTCAGGGATGACACATATGGGCAAAATCTGACATTTTTCCAGTTTCGTGTTTCATGTTTTGTAAATCTTCTATTTAGACACTTATTTTAAGTATAAATACACTTGCTTTAAAACAATTTGCTGAGTCACACTTTCATGTGCATTCAAAAGGTCTTTCAATAATGACCACAAATAAGCAAGCCCAAATATGCATTTGTCACCAGAATACTCTCTAAGATATGACCAATGACCTTCATTCATTAAGGTGACAACTCTCTCCCTCCCCCCTCACTCACAGGAAGGAAGTCAATATCATGTTAAAGAAAATCAATACCCTGTTCTCCCACTGAAACTCCACATTAAAGACCAATCCTTTAATTGAAGACCTAATCTCATCAATATTACACAAATACACTGATAACCCTGTTCATGTGTAGTGCATTTAGGGATTTAGCCTAAACCAGGGTCAGAAACATAATATCCTTCATGGTTTGTTTGTTAATTATTCCTCTAAAGTGGCAGTAAGCTTTGGTTTAGGGTCAGTACATGACAACCAAATCCCATGCTAAAATGATTTGAATTATTTCCAAATGATCAGTATTATCACAAAGTCTGCAATGATCCACCTATTCTGTCTCCTGACAACATGGCTGACTGGTGAGCATCATTAGAAGCCCTCAGCACCTGAAGAAGTTAAAAACAATATGTTGTTTACTCTCCACTGAGAGACATCAGACAGTATTCACTCTTTCTGGGATCAGTGATGTAGATGGTGGGTGTGGTCTGCACAGACTGATCCGCTAATATGGTCACCTCTGTTGTAAAGAACAAATCAATGTCTAGGTCAAACAGCACAAAGGTTTCTCTAAAGAGGTCAAAGTTCGCTTTTACCCCCTGTCCATTCAATTTTAACCCAAACTGGGAACCAGATCAAAGTCAGTTTACCATTATCTACATAAACCTGTGATTTCTTGAGGTTGTTTATATCATATATCAAATGATACAGTAGTGATAAATTATGAAGCACATATGTACTTGTTTTGTAAATATCGTAGGAAACATATGAGATATCTGAAACCTTTTATAAACCCAAGGAACTGGTGATGTAGTCACAGATCATACTTCCTGGATGTAAACATGTTTTAAAAAAGGTTCACCACTATTTACTAGAATATCAGACTCGTTCGTTCACATGACATACTGGTCTTTCTTTAACAAAAGGGGCTCTGCTTGACAGGGCAACAGGGGGGCCGACCCAGTGAAAGGGATTGTGGGCTTGGAGAGAGAACAGCAGGGCAGCCCAGCCAGAGCAGGCCTGTGACATCACAAAGCCTTTCCCTGCTGACCCCTGACCCCCAGGACCTCTGGACAGAAGGGGAGCACAGAAGAGGCCCATCCTCCACTCCTCTGCCTACAGCTGACCAAAAACCTTTAACCCTTTCACTGACAAAAGGCTGGACGCCACACCAAACTTGACTTTGGAAGGTTTGTTTTTATGGAAAACTTTTTTTTGTATTGAACTTTAAAAGACAACTGCAACAAGATTGTCAGAGCAGACTTGGTGTGATTATAAACCTGTAAGATTTGTTTTCCTGTTTGTATTTCTATATTTATAAATCTCTTCCTGTGTTATAGTTGCATCTATTTCTTCATAGTTGTGTACTGTTGAGTATAAGGACATATTGCCCAAAGCTTTCTGCCCTCAGTGTCAGTGTCAGAGTCAAAATCAGTATATTTCAGAAGGCCACACTAGTTTCCATGACACCACTCATGTGATATCCCTTCTAAGACCTGTGAAAAGTGTCCATGGCAGACCAGGCCCACTGAATAGACACAGCTGTCCTGTCCACTGATATGTGGACAAACAAATGCCCTGAAAAGCTAACCTTTTCTTCTGGGGCGGTCAGGGTTACTCCAAACAAAGGCTAAAAGGCAAATGGCCTTTCAGAGATTCCTCTGTGTAGCAGACCATTCAGCAATTACACAGAGCCACAGTCTGCAGTGACAAGAAATCCCACTAACATAAAGCTAATTTCTGCCAATGTTTCCTGAGGATCTTTATAAGTGTGCAAGTCAAAACAGGGGAAACACAGAGTACTCAGACTCAGACTCTGCCTATTTATAGAGTATTTATGAGCTTTTAGATTGACTCTCCATCTATCTTTAACTGTCTCTTAAAATGATCCTATAACTGGACTGAGAGCTTTAAACTCAAGCATGGCCAAGTCTCAACAACTTACAATAACATGGAAACCCAGACTTTAGAGGTTTTTCCTCAGTAAAAAACGAGTGGGGTGGGGTACATCTGCTTCCCATCTCCAGGGTAATAACCCATGAACTTGCCATTCTGATGCCTGCATGTTCACACCACCAAGTGTATACCACAAACAACTTTAACCCATCCTCAGCTTGGTCCGAACAGTGGGAATAAAGTCCACGTTAACCAGTGATGATTCCCTTCACTCTGAGCTCCATACTTACTTGCGATAGTCAGACGTGATCTTTGGCTTAGGATAGCTCCATATTTGTTCTGGGAGAGGCACTGGTAGAATCCCTCATCTGATTCCTCCTTGGTATGCTTTATCTTAGGTATGTACAAGGAGCCGTTGGACAGAAACTGTATGTGCTCACTTTCTGCCAAATGAACTCCATTCTTCAGCCACTTGATGGTGACTGGAGGCTGTCCATGAGCCTGACAGTCCAAGACTGCAGGGTCCTTTGGTAGTGCGGTAACATCGCTGGGCTCTGTGATGAAGGACAACTCGCTGAAACATAAAACACCTGGAGGAAGAGAATGGGGACATTAGTTGTTTCTGAGTAATGGATGAGCTGCACAACAATAACTCTATAGCCTAACAGACCATACATGTCATGTACTACAGGAACAGTATCAGAAAACTACATTGATATTACAGGAAATAATAATAAAATGCCAAATCAGACACACATAATATATGTCCTGACGCAAATGTTAAAGTAATAGCAGCTGTATTAGGATGATAGCTATAAGTAAGCTGTAAAACAGGCTTTATCTTTCAGGAACAATGATGCATGGTATGGTGTTTTAATATCTGCTGTCACGAATATCAGACATGAAGTCGGTGAGCATCCGAACAGCAAACTGAGATTAATGACAGAGAACCAGAAATAGAAAATATACGTTACAAGTTTAACAGCCTTAATAAACCTTATTATCTCTTCTTGGTCAACGTGGTTCAGAAAACACGGTGTCCTTTAACAAATGAGTTAACGTTACATATGTTTCAGATATGCAGGCAGTCAATCAACAGTCCGTGCGCGGACCGCAAAGCAGGTCAGCTCTCTTATTTACAACGAAAATATGAACAAAAACAAACAAAAAGACACACTTACATGATAAAGGAAGAAACAAAACAAAAAGCAGCCAGTGCTGGTAGTCTTTCATCTTAAACTTCGCCATTTATCCAGTCATGTCCCCCCCACCGCGGACCGCCGCTCTCCTGCGTGCTGTCCGTAGATCCCCAAAATCACTTCTGCCGGCAGCGGAGCTCCAGACGCTGTACAGTGGTGCCGGGGCTCCCCCATCTGCGCATGCGCAGACAGCACTGGTCAGAAACAAGTGTGTGTGTGTCTCAGTGTGGTCGGGGGCCCCCAGGGGCCTCCAGGAGGAACTGTCGCAGGATGTGGAACTGGACATTTTCACAACAGTTTCATTCATTGCACCTACAGGATGATGGGAGGGTCAGATTCTGATCTTTGGAGCCTCACATGGAGTTGAAACTGGCAGCAAAGATCTCCCACAAGGGTCACAGATGTATAACACTGTAACCAAACGGAGACTGTGGTGCCAAATAATGTGGATCTATCTTCCATCTTTGGTTGTTTTACATAAATATAACTGGGAACTTTGACAAGCGCACAGAAGCAGAATGTTTTGCCTCTTTTATGTGTGTTTGTAATCTGTCCTCTTTCTTACTAATATTCTAAATAATACTTAGTGTGTGTCTGTGTAGGTGTTAACTGCATTTTGCGACTGAATTATCTTGTTATGATGATCTAAATGAGACTTCCTGAAAAGATAACTTGGCACAGGTTTTCTGGAAACTGCAAATATCTTGGATCCATATTTTCCACGTTTGCACTTTATTTACCTTTCGCATAATATTGCATTTTTTTATTTCATTACTGCCTTTTCTACCTACATTGTAAAGATATTTAATATCTGTCTGTCCTGGAAGAGGGATCCCTCCTCTGTTGTTTTTATTTATTTTATTTTTTTTAGTGGAGTTTTTCCTAATGGAGTCTGAGGGCAAAGGAAGGGGTATGTTGGTTAGTTTCTGAAGCTATCTGAGACAAATTTGTGATTTTGGGCTTTATAAATAATTTTTGACTACCTGTTCAACAAGTTGAGAGTTTTTATTACTTTTATGTCAAACTGAGTATACAAGGCTGAAAAGTATAACATATACATAACATTATACATGTCAAGCTCTGACCAAATCTATAGACTACATTCCTACATACAGTACTGTGTGAACTATAATCTGATTTCCCATGTAACAATTTAGCCTAATAATATCTTTTTTCTGTGTGCATCAGACATTATTTAAGACAACTAAATAAGTTGAACACAATTATTAGTTACCAAAGGCCACTGGTAATAAGGTCACACTGAACGGCATCTGCTTCTACCACAGAATCTGGTAATTATGAAGAGATATTGATGGCTGCAAGTCAGCTGCCTAATGAATTCAGATATTGATCTGGTGACCGTGCCTTTTGACAATGACCCTCCTCCTCTCCCAGGCCTCATTCAACAGCAGCACAATGGGCTCCAGCTGTGAGATCCACCATGCTGTATCAGCAAAACACCCGTCCATTGGTGCAGATAAATGCAGTCATCACATTCAAAATGGGAGATGTTGTGCCTTCCAAAAGATATTATATAACTCTTATTTTCAACGATATCAATGAATGGTTTGTAATGATTTTAAGGGATTACTGCCTCAAACATGCACCTCCACACTTCAATATCCAATCAAATGAGGAGAACGGAGTATAATTATATATTGATTACAACTAACTATTGATTTAATCATCTAAAGCCTCATAGTTATAATTCAAGACTAAGAACCAATGGTCAGGTTAATAGCATCCCACAATGTGTTTACTCAATAGCTTGGATTTTTAAATAAATTATATTAATGATTCTATGTCTAGGAGAAACACACACATCTTATACGTATTAAATTACCCTGTCTTTATAAGAAAACACACTTATATTGTAGTTTATTAGTCATGGTTGGTATTAACTAGTTCACTTACATTAAGTGTGTTATTGTGTTCACACAAGTATTAATAAAAAAACACTAATATTTTATTTCCCTGGACACAAAAAATCACTCTCACAAAGCTTCCACTTATGATTTTAGCTGTAAAAAGGATGGCAAAGACGAATTATCTGTATTAATGCCTTACTTTAAACATGGTTTTGCATTCTTTGGTTATTGATATGTTGTGTACAAACAGGAAACACAATCCTGTATTGCTTGTGAAATCTGTCGACTCACGTTGCCAAATGTTGTAGTGTGGAGGTCGAGGTTACCGCTAGGCTCCACATGGCTAAAGGTTAGGCTGTTTGGCCATGATCAATAGGGTTAAGGTCATTAACATGTTATGAATAACACGAGGCCCTGGGAAAGCAGAGCAGAGGATCATGAACTGGGCTCTGATTGGCTGGAGTGTGTCTCTAAGAGAGGCCACCCGCCACTGACCTCAGAGGTCATTTGAAGAGCTGATGACCTCTAACCTCATGTAACCATCACCTAAGAAGGTGATGGAAAGGTTTTGAGTTTGCATAGACTTGACTGCTAAAATATTAAAAGTGTGTGGTGTTTGACCAAAAACAAATAAACATCAGTATTAGCATAATGGTGGAAAAATCAATAGCACAGTGTCATTGGCAGGGGACAGTCCAATCAAAATGTTTGTATCGGAGACAGACTTTAGATTAGATTAGACAATTTAACAGTACTGGCAATGACACCTAACATAGAATTAACTAATAAATTAACCAATTAAATTCAACACTTAATTCCTGGAATGACTATGTATAATAACTATAATGACTAGTAAATCCTGTGAGGTTACTTTCTGTCATGCTCCAAAGCGACTTTGTATTTACCGTAAACAAAATAATAAAAATCATCAGCACATACACACACAAGGATATTCTTTAAAAAAGTTTATTGGCTTTTAAAACCACTTTAAAAATCTCACCAGTGAGTACTTTCCATTGAAAAAAGAAACAACGCATTTGCGATATTAACAAGCTACTGTACATTAAGCAGTACACCAGACAACACCACAGAGGAGGGTTTTTTTTCTACTGGTAAAAATGGACAAGATAGTCAAACAGAGTTGGTTCTGGGTCAGTCAAAGGTAAAGAATCAGTGTCACTGCTTGATGGAGCTCCTGTACTCATAAAGAGGTGCATTTCCTTCATTCAAATTCAAATATCAGTGCTTTATTGTTAAAGAAACAATTAAGAGAAAATGTTAAATTTCTTCACAAATGTATTTTGCAAAATAAGAATATGTAAAATCGACAGAAAACAGTCATAAACATAACACTTAGAACAACATTAACTTAGTAAACAGCACACAACAAAAGTAATGTAACTCATAAAACTAGCACTGCCAGTCTGGTTAACAGAACCTGCCCAAATCACAGAAGACAGTGGTTACCAAGAATACAAAGTACAACAGAAGTCATCACACATGCGTGCGTACAATCATTTATCAACATAACGAGCATGTAGGTTTTAAAAGGTTATTTAACTTTTTTTCCCTCAATGCTTTATATTCTCATGTATGAGAATGAGTAAGAAATGTGTATCTCACTGAGATTAATGCACATTTTGCTACAAGACAATTAGTCATTTTCTGACAGTTAATTTCCCTACTCATCTTGTCATAAAAAATGTTTTTTTCTTTTTTTGTGGGCATCCATCATTACATTTGTCCATAAAGATGTGGCAAAGCCATGTGTCATAAAAATTTAGTGCAATAATGTGAACCTCCAAAGTTTGTTGAAACATGAGTAATTGTTTTTTTTCCAGTGTCTGCTGAGAGGCTTTGAGCACAATGTCTGTCACAGAGATGTTTGCAACCAGCTAACAGTATCACAACTTTTTTTCTCAATATACCATGCTATTGATCCTGCTCAAAGCACACATCACTTCTGCAACCGCAGAGACCTATTATCTTTGAATAGAAAAAAAGTAAAATAAAATCAGCAAGCGAGACCAGACAGCATTACTTTTACGACACATTGAGCCAGAAATGTAACACACAACATACAGTATCTTGCCGACTATAGATCTGTTAAGCTTTTTTTTCTTTTAAATGGCACGTACTTAGCTAGAATAATGGCCATAATATAGTGTCTTGATACATCAATTCTCTATGTATCTATCCTATTTACAGATGGAGCTTAAACATGACTTATACAACATTGACAATAGCCAAAAACTCAAGCAAGCATCCTACTGTATCACATAGCCTACCTGGCTAGCAGTGATGGTTTCAACATGCTTTCAGGTCCATGGTTACCTATAAAACATAGGACAGTGACCATTTCACAAATTTACATACTGTACATAAGATTTATGCAACTTAATCCTTTTTCCTCAAATGCAATAAAACTCTTTTATATCTCGGAGGCTGCCCGTTTCCCGTTTTTTTTATTTTTTAATGTTCTGTACTAGGAGTGTCTCTATGTGTATTAATCTCTTATGTTATTCAAACAGATCATCTTTGGTATGGAAATAAGGCTGGATTCTCCACAAACACTGTTTCATTTCCTCTTGATCCCAAGATGACATCAAGACATACATGTCAGCCTCTAGCTGTCTATGTAACTAAGCCTTCTCCATACCATTGATATTCTTATCCAAGCTGGGAGTGTAGCGTGCCAAAAAAAAAAAAAAAGAATCTCATGACTGAAAGTGTGCCTGCCATGGTTTTCATGAAATGACAGCCTATCAAATTCCTCTAAATCTGATTACTGATAAGGGCACACACAGTGTAGTTGTTAGCCTATACAATACGCATCTATATTGTAACACTGCAAAACAAAAACAATAAGAAATAGTACTGAAAATATCAGAGAAACAGCTGCCTTGATATGATGAAGCTCTGGATGGTTCCGAAGATTCTTAACATTATACTATATACAGTCACTCTACAGATGGCATAAGGCCTTGGACTTTGGGAATAAGGCAGCCAGTTGTTGATTCCTTTCAATGTATAGTCCACAAAGTGGCCTGAATTCCCATCTTCTCCCCACTGATTCATCTACTCCCTTTATAAGATATTAAACAGTACAAGAAGTATAGGCTTTATGAAAATTTCACTCTTGGACAATGCTCAGATGTGAATCAGTTTTCCACTGATTTGG